CCCCCCCCCCCCCATTGGTGTTTGTTATATGGGTGTGTTGCAGTTATATGGGTGTGTTGCAGTTAAGTATTACATAGCTGGTGACTCAAAAAAGATTATTGCATCCAGAATCTTCCTGGTGTAATCTGCATGAAATGCTAAATCACTGAAGAGGAGGGATGCTCTTGTAGTAACTTCTAGAATCGTGTAGTTGTGTGATCTTGCCTGTAGGTGGCACCGCCGCTCCAGGAAGATCATGCATTGTGCTAGCCTGTGTTTGTGTCAGAAGGGCAGCAGAAGATTTGACTAGTTTCTGTTGTGTTAAGCTGTTGGCTTTTGTGCTGACTTTGTGTTCATTTTTATTCAAAACTGTACAGATGCCGGAAGAGATTCCAGCTACAGCTCAGGACCAACAAATGGAGGAGGAAGAGGTGGAGACCTTCGCATTCCAGGCTGAGATTGCGCAGCTGATGTCCTTGATCATCAACACATTCTATTCCAACAAGGAGATCTTCTTGAGGGAACTGATTTCCAACTCCTCTGATGTAAGTGAAGTACTAAATATCATAGAGCTGCAACAACTATTCGATTAAAAAAACGTTGTCCAACGTTTTCCATCATCGATTATTCGGCTATCAATTAAATCGCCTGCACGCCATGCTGCGATTTGTTGTATTCCTCTAAAGCTGCTGGTATTCTGCATTGCGCCGCTGTATAATGTACTATAGCACACTACACTTTTTTTAAACTTCTACCGCTCCAAGCTTGCTCCCGTGATGGACTACAATCTCAATACATACTAGTAGTCCATCACTGGAGCCTTTTTTTAATCCGATTTAACCGATTAATCGATTTTAATAATCGGCTAACCGATTTTGGAAATAATCGTTAGCTGCAGCCCTAAAATATCAGCTTCTTCATTCAGTGGTCAGTAATTGCAGTGACTGATGACATGCAACTTTTGTTTTAGGCTTTGGATAAGATCAGATATGAGAGTCTCACTGACCCCAGCAAGCTGGATTCTGGGAAAGAGCTGAAGATTGATATGATCCCCAACAAACAGGATAGAACCCTGACTATTATTGACACAGGAATTGGGATGACCAAAGCTGATCTCATTAACAACCTGGGCACCATCGCCAAATCTGGAACCAAGGCTTTCATGGAGGCTCTGCAGGCCGGAGCTGATATCTCCATGATTGGTCAGTTCGGTGTGGGTTTCTACTCAGCCTATCTCGTTGCTGAGAAAGTGACAGTGATCACTAAGCACCTCGATGACGAGCAGTATGCCTGGGAATCCTCAGCCGGAGGGTCCTTCACTGTCAGAGTAGATAGTGGTAAGTACACTGAAAAATTGATAGTTAAAGCACAGAGGTTTTATTTGGTGTTTGGCATGTATCCTGGGTTAGGTGCTGTTGGCTAATAAAACCCCTATTTCAGGTGAGCCTCTGGGTCGTGGTACAAAAGTGATCCTGCACTTAAAAGAGGACCAGTCTGAATATTTCGAGGAGAAGAGGATTAAGGAGATTGTGAAGAAACATTCCCAGTTCATTGGTTACCCAATCACACTGTTTGTCGAGAAGGAACGTGATAAAGAAGTAAGTGATGACGAAGCGGAGGAGGAGGAGGAGAAGGAAGAAAAGAAAGAGGGAGAAGAGAAAGAGGAGGAAGGGAAGAGTGAAGAGAAGCCAGAAATAGAGGATGTGGGCTCTGATGAGGAGGAAGATAAAAAGGAAGGAGACCAAAAAAAAAAAAGGAAGATTAAGGAAAAATACATTGACAAGGAAGAGCTGAACAAAACCAAACCCATCTGGACCCGAAACCCGGATGACATCACCAATGATGAGTACGGAGAGTTCTACAAGAGTCTCACCAACGACTGGGAGGACCACCTGGCTGTCAAGGTAATTTTGCCACCCCAGATGTTTGTTTCTAGTGAGGGGATATTGGGTCTCACTTGTCTAGTAGTGGGCATTATCACTACTGATTTCAGTACTTGGTTTTTGGAAGTTAAAGGAGAACTATGAGCTGAGTGATTTTTCACTCAGCCTCATAGTTCTAGCCGACCTGTGACAATGAAACTGTCACACGTCGGCTCAATAGATCGGGAAGTGAGCGAACACATATCGTCGCTCGTTCGCTTCTCAATCATGTCCCTGCAGAGAGCCGTGACTATCACTCTCCGATCTTCCAGCGCTGACTGGCGGAACGGACGGGGGAGGGTGCGGGTACAGCTGGCTCTGCCTCTAGATAGGCAGAGCCAGCTGTCACTAGCGCAGCTGGGTGGATCTCGACAGTAATGTTGGGATCCGTCCCGGCTGTGGCGGTCTCGATATACTGAGATTTGGGTCACTGGAGGATGCTAGTTTATGTCCTCCTGTGACCCTTAGGAGAACTATGGGGAATTGGTGGTTTGTTTTTTTTTTTTTTTTATATTGCAAGGGGGGTGATCAGACTTGCCTGTGTTAAGCGATAAGTCAGGCAGGTCTTATAAGTTCAGTACTGAACAGCTCACACAAGGAGTTGGGAGCACACTGGGTTTCTGGTAGACTAAGAATTACTTCTTTACATCAGTAGCCCCACAAAGGGCCGGTGCACACCATTTTCCGGACCAGATCTGGTCCAGTGCATACCAGACAAAATGAGACGTGCAGTATTTTTCTGGTCTGGTCTTGAACAGACTGCGCTGGTGTGAGCAGAGGCCTGAAATAGCATAGGGATACATTAGGATGCATTTTGAGTCTGGAGACAATCTGGTCTGGAGATGATGTGGTGTGAATGGGCCCAAAAGGTACCACACTCCAAAATCAACAGTAAGGGCAGGTGCACACCATTTTCTGGAACAGATCTGGTCCGGAAAATAGTGCGAACCTGCCGGCAGTTCCAGTGCATTCCAGACCAGACAAAATGAGACAGAACAGTATTTGTCTGGTCTGGAACGGACTGCAGTGGTGTGAACAGAGGCCAAAAATGGCATAGGGATACATTGGGATGCATTTTGGGTCCGGAAACAATCTGGTCTGGAGATCTGGTGTGAATGGGCCCTAAAAACCACCAAACATTTGGTCTTTCAAGATACCATTTAAACATAATCGCAGTCAATAAACAAATTTTAGGTTAAGGACATAAATATTAAATCGGACCAGACAACAGGATGATACTATGGGCAACATGGCCATGTACATAAAATGTTGTCAAGCAAGAATTGAACACCTTTTTAGGATGTTTGAAGAGTTTTTTAACCAGTTGACATCCGCGGTGTTAAACCCCCTTCCCATCCAGGCCATTTTTCAGTATTCAGCGCTGCGGTACTTTAACTGACATTTATTCCGTCATGCAGCGCTGTACTGAAATGAATTTTATACCCTTTTTTGGGGACAGATAGAGCTTTCTTTTGGTGTGGTAAAATATAAAAGACGGGAGACGTCGGGTAAAAAGACACCAAACATGTCAAGCCTTAAAATTGCGTGCTATGGACCCGCTGATCGTCTATATGTGAAACACCCGGTACCGGGTGTTCGCATTGGACGGGTCTTTTCGGCGCGCGCGAGCAGAAAAAAATTGCCGTCTGGAGACGGCAACCCGCAGATGCTGCAGTGCCGTCCGTCCGTTTTTTTACTACGGGCGGACGGCAAGAGGTTAATTAATGATTTAATTATGTTCTCAACCTGAAATTTGTTTATTGACTGCGGTTGTGTTCAAATGGTACCTTTTTTTTGAAAGACCATATTTTTGGTGCAGTTTTGTAGATCGTTACTGCAGTGTTTAAAAAGCAAAACCTTTTTGTCTTGAGGGAAAGGTTTAATGTAGACAGTCTTGTGCTATCCCAACATACAGTTTTGCCATGGCTACTCTGACTTGCCATTGGCAAGAGTGATGGTTAGTGAGGTTGATTCCCTTGGCCTATTCTGTACACATGGACTTCTGTATGTTCACTGGGCACTTCTGTAACCAGCAAAGTTTGGAAATTGTGGTTGAATAACTTGCCTGATTCTTCAATCTGGTAAAGTTATTGATCAGTGATATAGAAGAACCCGAGCTTCAGCTTTATTCTAGATGATGGTGTAAAGCATTTTCTGAACAGTTTTTTTTCATTCTTGCAGCACTTCTCCGTGGAAGGCCAACTGGAATTCCGAGCCCTGCTGTTTGTACCCAGGCGAGCACCTTTCGACTTGTTTGAGAATAGGAAAAAGAAAAATAACATTAAGCTGTATGTGCGCCGAGTATTCATTATGGACAACTGCGAGGAGCTGATCCCGGAGTATCTCAGTAAGTAGCATCAGCTTTATCTTTTGTGTGAAATAAATTAAAGTGCTGGTGTGTCTTGGTATCGAAATGTAATGAACCTCTTTGATGCTCTCCAGACTTCATTAGAGGTGTGGTGGACTCTGAAGATCTCCCGCTGAACATCTCCAGAGAAATGCTTCAGCAGAGCAAGATCCTGAAAGTTATCCGGAAGAACCTGGTAAAGAAATGTCTAGAACTCTTCACAGAACTGGCTGAGGACAAAGAAAACTACAAGAAGTTGTATGAACAGTTCTCCAAGAACATTAAGGTTGGTATCACGGAAGACTTGCCCCAACTAGTCTCACTTGCTGGTTGGACCTTAAATCTCGTCAGTCTGTCTTGCTTCCATAAATCGAGTGACGGCTTTTGGGGTTTTGTCTTTAGCTCGGTGTTCACGAAGATTCTCAAAATCGCAGCAAACTTTCTGAACTTCTGCAATACTACACCTCTGCATCTGGGGATGAGATGGTGTCACTGAAAGACTATTGCACGAGGATGAAGGAGAACCAGAAACACATCTACTATATCACAGGTGTGTATACTGCACTGAACTAATGTAAGAACAGTCTAAGAACTTGAAGCGGACCTATACCCATTATATCTTTAAAATGACAACAAACACCTTTTAGAAATGTTTAGTAATGACAATCTGCAGACACATACATCTAGATAATTGCCGGCTTTGTATTCTTTGCATACCTTGTTTCTCTTTTCTTCCCGAGTCTTCTGACAGTGGCCATGTTTACTAAGGGCAGATTACTAGCTCTCCTATTACCTCCTGGATTTCTGGCACATGTGACTAGGACATGTGACCATGCACATCTCAGGGGAGGAAAATGCTTTTCCCTGAGATTACAGATGAGATTTTCCAGCAATGCTCTGCTGATAAGGCAATCCCAGTGTGCATTGCTTTGGCAAACTAAGTAATTTGCACTTTCAAAACGGGTGAATGTTCTGCATGTGTAAGTATTTCACAATCACAGCACTTTACACCTGACATATCTGTTATTATCAATCATCATACATATGGTATTGGTATGTGCATATTTGAAAATGAACTTAATGTGTTCTGCCCAGACATACACCTTTTAATACCATTATGAGTCTCTTTAGGCTGTTACTCAATCCTGAACAATTTTACCTCCGTGCTAGTGGACATTTTTACAATGGTCAGGACCTTTAAAAAAAAAAAAAAGTGGGAAGAGTTTGGAGAAGGCAGGAGAAGAACAATCTAGGCCAAAATAGCTGATTTGGAAAGTGAGCCGAATTGGAGCATTTTTCCAAATCCACCGTTGGCCTAGATCATTCACTTCTCCAAACTCTTTGTGAATAACTCCATTTATTCACAAACCTTTTGTGAATAACCCTGTAAATCTGTGCAGGCTTAAAGGAGAACCATGGGGTTAGGGCTTTTCCCCATAGTTCTCCTTAGGGTAACCGGGGGACACAAACTAGCGTCCTCCCGTCACCCTAAGCTCAGTATACCGCGAGCTGTAACTCACGGTATACTGAGACGCTGAAGCGGATCTCGACAATCATGTCTGGATCCGCCCAGCTGCGTGAGAGGCAGAGCCAGCTGTCAATCTAGAGGCAGAGCCAGCTGTACCCACCCCTCCCCTCCCCTGTCCGGTCCACCAGTCAGCGCTGGCGGGGGGAATCCAGCCCCTCCCCTGTCACGGCAGAGAGCCGTGACAGGATCGAGAAGTGAGCGAACACTGGTATGTGTTCGCTCACATCCCGATCTACTGAGCCGACCTGTGACAGTCTCATTGTCACAGGTCGGCTAGAACTATGAGGTGAGTGAAAAGCACTCATCTCATAGTCCTTTAACTAGGTAACCTTTGCATTAGTAGAAAGCCATCGGGTCAATAAAGCGACACCATTTAATATGCAGAAGATAGAAAACATTGCAGTTTGTCGGTTCTATTAGTGACGGCTCTTTACTTCACAGGTGAAACAAAGGAACAGGTGGCTCACTCAGCCTTTGTGGAGAGGCTCCGGAAGCATGGCCTGGAAGTCATCTACATGACGGAGCCCATAGATGAATATTGTGTACAGCAGCTGAAGGAGTTCGAAGGAAAGACTCTCGTCTCTGTCACAAAGGAAGGGCTCGAGCTCCCAGAGGACGAAGAGGAGAAAAAGAGTCAGGAGGAAAAGAAGTCCAAGTTTGAGAACCTGTGTAAGATCATGAAGGACATTCTGGAAAAGAAAGTAGAGAAGGTTGGTGTTGCACTCCTATTTTGGGCCCTCCCGTCATCATTTTGTCATTTGCCTGGTTCTAATGCGTCACTTTACGTTTCAGGTTGTCGTGTCCAACAGGCTAGTCACATCCCCGTGTTGTATAGTAACCAGTACCTACGGCTGGACTGCCAACATGGAAAGGATAATGAAGGCCCAAGCACTGAGGGATAACGCCACAATGGGCTACATGGCAGCCAAGAAACACTTGGAGATTAACCCCGATCATTCCATTATTGAAACACTGAGGCAGAAGGCCGACAATGACAAGAATGACAAGTCTGTGAAGGATCTGGTGATACTTCTGTATGAAACTGCTCTTCTGTCATCTGGCTTCAGCCTGGAGGACCCGCAGACGCATGCCAACCGCATCTACAGAATGATTAAGCTTGGCTTAGGTGAGTCCTGTAGATGTGTGAACATAAACTCTTCATCCTAAAGGTTTCATAGTAATGGAGAGGAATGGTACCAATGCGGGTTGACATAATATTGGGGAGGAGCTTGTTTGACATAATATTGGGGAGGAGCTTGTTTGACATAATATTGGGGAGGAGCTTGTTTGACATAATATTGGGGAGGAGCTTGTTTGACATAATATTGGGGAGGAGCTTGTTTGACATAATATTGGGGAGGAGCTTGTTTGACATAACGATTGGCTCTAATTGGCCAACCTGCAAAAAAAAGCCTTGTCTAAAACCCCAGAATTGTAACCTTCATGTTGCAGGCATTGATGAGGACGATGCCACCCCTGAAGACTTGACACCACCGACAACTGAAGAGATGCCGCCACTTGAAGGAGACGACGACTCGTCTCGTATGGAAGAAGTTGACTGAATCAGTTAATGCCCCCAAAACCATTTAAAACGTTCCAGTTCTAATCCTAACCGGTTAGGTTTTTTGTACTTTGTGCAGCATTTCCACTGTGCAGTTCTGTCTAAAATAATATTTATTTTTTGATGTATGTTTGTTTTTGTTAAATACATTGTTCTATTGCAATAAAAAATGACTCCAGACTTAACCTTGTCAAATCCACTTTTCATGTGCACAATATTGCTGTTTTTTATTTAAATAAAGATACTACATTGTCCAGGTCCAGCTGAGACCTAAGATTTGGAGAAGGGCTAAACACCAGGGGTGAGCAAACACTGGCTCTCTAGCTGTGGTGACACTACAAGTCCCATCATGCATCTGTGTCTGGGAGTCATGTCTGTGGCCGTCCCAAGTCTTGCAATGCTTCATGGGATTTGTAGTTTTGACAACAGCTGAGAGGCTCGGACTGAGCTGTCAGTGACCGCTCCTGATCTGTATTGACAATCCAGAGCTGGGGACGGGTTCACATCACATGATCACTGTGATTTGACTATGACCTGGTCACGAAGCCTTTCCCCCGCTCCAGTCAAAGGCCGGTGCCGGGTTTTTATGTTCTGCTATGTGAATAACCATTTTTTTTTTTTAAAACTTTCTAAAGTCTTTCAGGCCAGTCACATAATGCTGCGGGTTCCTTGTTCTCTCCTAATCGGTGCCGGTTCTTAGGAGTGAGCAGTCCGTACTGATGCAGAGAGCAGGAATGTCTGCTCCCTTATCTGCATTAGTAGTGCGAATGAAGGGCCGCGGGGCCACTCTCTTTTCAGTAGGCACAGTCTGGTAGTTTCGGCAATGAAAACTGAGCGTTCTCTGGATGAGGGACGACTTCTGACTTCACCACCCCTTGTCCAGTCTGAGCATGCATAGAGGGAATTGATCTAAACTGGATCAGCTGTGCATGGAAGCCAATCGGCGTCTTGGTTTCATTTTCATACTCCTGGGGTACCTCCCTGAACTACTCTGCAGCTGTAGGTCTATCTCCTGTGCAGACTAGTGGGCCTGCTTTGCAGGATCAGGTGGTTCCTGGATAAGGACTTCTCTCCCGATCTCCATGAGCAGTGGCGTAACAATCTCCATAGCGACCCAGGCGGCCGCTATGGGGCCAAGCGTGGGTCGCTATGGCATGTGGGGGTGCTGGCTGTCATAGACACAGTTTAGCAGCGGCCACGGCGCATTTCCCCTCATAGCCGCTGCGGAGCTGTGTCAGTGACAGCCAGCCGCTGCGGCAGATGAGGGCGGTGTTCGGAATGGAGGAGGCGGTGCCCGCCTCTTACATCACTAGCCAGTGATGTAGGAGAAGGCGGGGCCCGGTGACCACAGAGGAATTGACAGGTAAGAGATCTCAGACCCTACAGAGCCCACTATAGAGAGTCTATGGTGGGCTCTGCAGGGTCACTCCGCTGGGGCTCTGCAAGTGGCATGACTAGCGATCACGGGGGCCCCATACAAAATTTTGCTATGGGGCCCTGTGATTTCTATTCACGCCCCTGTCCAGGAGGTTTATTTCACGCTCACTGTCAGGAAGTTGTCTGCTCCTCTCTTCTGGTGGGTTCAGGTTGAACTCTCTTTGCTCCATGGTTCGGTACTCTCTTCCATGTTGAGCCGTAGACCAGTGCGCACTGATTCCACAGAGCCACCAGACCATTCACTACTTTACCAAGCGTTCCCTGCACCTGAATAAAAACCTGTCCAGTGTGCTGCTGAACTTAAAGAGCAGGGGGTCCAAATCTGGCATCCACCCCCCCCGTGACAGGTTCTGAAACACCGCCAGGTGTAGGGGCCACCCTCTCGGGTAGTGTCGTCAGAAGGGGGTTGCGGCCTGCACCCGGGTGACATCACTGATGACATGACTGTCATTTTGGTGTCACCCCTCTGAAAAGGCAGGCACTCGGGTCATAGACTGATCGCCCGACAGTTTCGGGAGTGAGGAGGGGACCCGCTGGGATAAGGTATGCCGCCGGGTCCCCTCACACCCGAAACTGTGGTTATCCACTCCTCTCTCTGCCGGTGTAAATCACCAAGATGGCCACCGGCAGGTAGCAATAAGATCGCCGCGCATGCGTGGTGACGTCACGGGGGCGTCGCCTGGTAACCGCTCCGGGTGACACCCGGTCCCAGGACGCACCTGATCTCAGGTCCAGGCATTGCTGGCTAAGGAAATCTGTCTGCCAATTGTGTACACTACACCTGGAATGTACATGACTGACAAGGCTGGAGGGAGCAGTTCTGCCCAGGACAGTATCCTGTCTACCTGCTGCAGTGAGGCTTCTGGTTCCTTTCCGATGGTTGATGTACACCACCACCACCACCATCACCATCTGGATTAGATTGCCTTCCAACATGACGACTGAGGCCTGGCCTCAGGGCCGGCAGGGGTGTGGAATCTCCCGATGCCCAGGACACAGCGACGTTGCCAAGATCACTTGTAATGAGACTGCGGGTCCGTCCTCGCATCCTTCCCCTCTCAGCCGTCACAGGAGTTCCAGCACAGGGCCGTGCTAGAACTCCTCTTTATTGACCGGCAGTGGCGTCACAAGGGCGGGGGTGGGGCCCGCACCCGGGTGACACCAAAATTAGTCATTTTGGTGTCAACCCCCATCTGAAAAGTCGGGCGCTCGGTCATGGACCGAACGTCCGACAGTATCTTGAGAGAGGAGGGTACCGTTGACCGGTTCAATAAAGAGAACCTGTCACCTCCAAATGCTATCACAGGGGCTTGTTAGGTACTGTGTGATAGCAATAAAGTTACCGGTAATGAAAAAAATAAAAGTTTAAGAAATAATAATTTAAAAAAAACGTGATTAAAAAGTAAAAAATAAGATAAAGAAACCCCAAAAAATTAAAACTAACCCTGCCGCCCCCCCCATCTGGTTGCCATTCTCAATGGGGGGGGGGGCGGATTTAGCAGGAGGGGGGCAGATTTAGGAACCTGGCTTTGGGGCAGCAGAGAGAGTAAATCTGGCCCTGACAACGGACTGCTTCAGCGCTGAAGGGACAGCCAAATTGCCTAAATCTCCAGGATGTTTATCAGGAGACAAGATTCCTCCGCCAACCAAGTGCCCGGCACCGACGGTGCCCAAAATCTCTAACCAGCCCATCAGGCTGGCACCTAGTGTACTGTAAGAATCTTTCAAAAGGCAATTAAGGAAGGACTCCAACTCCAGAGCCCAATCTCTGAGCCACCGAGCCATAAATAGCTTGGCCAACCTATTTTAAAGGTGGCCATACACTCTACAACCATCGCAAGACTTTAGTCTTGCGATGGTTGTACAGGGATTAAAAAAACGTACGATCTGCAGATCGCACTCTCGATCATCGCAAGCCCGCCCCCCTGAGGGGCGGGCGTCCGATGACCGCAATGCTGAACGGGCAGTGTGCGCGTGCGGCATTTGTCTTCCGAGCACCGTTCTAACCAGCCGAGAATCGTACGATTCCCGGCTGGTTTTCGAACATGCTGGTTCGACAGAAGACGTGCGACCGTACAGTAGAAACGGTCGCACGTCTCCATTCACACTGCTCGATTATCGTACGAAAAACCGATCGCATACGATTATCGTACGATAATCGTGCAGTGTATGGGCACCTTTAGTGAGTGTTCAGAGACAGGACAAGCGCAGAGACAATGCCAGCAGATGGAGAGCGCTCTTCAGCCAATGTGACCAGAGCTGGAAAGGGCCCTCAAGCGGAGCCCAGGTCCCTTCCAGGCTAGCCTTGCAAGGTCCAGATGCAGCATGGGGGGAAGCGAAAAGGTTAATATAAACTGCAGAGCTGTTAAAGGGACTTTATTTTCCCTGAATGGCCAAAGTGACATGGTCTCTGTAAGCGCAGGTAAGTCGGCAACAATTACTAAATGCACCTGCTGCATGATGATGGTTTATGAAGCGCCGGCCATTATTCTATAAGAACGGCCTGTGTCTGCCATGAGATGTTCTGCAGGAAGTCTGCGGCCAGGAAAGTCTCCCGTGAAATCCGCGCTGGAAGTCGCAGCGCCGCACGTTATCCGCCTTCCCCTCCATCCAAAATCTGACACAGGTGGGTGCAGGTTCCGCCCCTCCCGGTGGGCGTGTCTGTGGCTATGTGGGCGTGACTGGGAGTCTGTTAGCTGCACACCGGCGTCAGGTGCGAGCGGAGGGTACGCGATGCCCGGGAGACGCCGGAGAGCTCGCAGCGGAGCGGGCAGGAAGGCTGAAGGAGAAGGTATATGGAGGACGATGATATACGGAATGGCGGACGGGAGCACCGAGCTCGTCACTTGTAAAAGTTGCTTTCAAAGAGTCGTAATGAGAGTCGGTGCGGATAATAACCACCGGTAACGGGAAATGTGCCCGGAGGGCTGCCTGCTGTTGTGTGCGCCTTCAGCAAGAGACGCCGCACCTGGACCTGCAAATACCTTCAACTAGTGACCCTCACCTGTACCTGCACGCCCTGGACCTGCAAATAGAGACCCCTATACCTGCACATAGAACCCCACCTGCAAATAGAGACCCCTCCCATATCTGCATATAGACACCCCCTCATGCCTTCAACTAGAGACCCTCCCCTGCACCTACAAATAGAGACCCCCATACCTGCACATAGG